GCCCGTTAGCGGGGGCCGGCCGGGAGGGCCCCGGGGGCGGCGGCCTGGCGCGGGGGGAGACTGCCCACAGCCGGGCCTGGAGCCGGGCTGCCCCGGGGGAGGCGGCGGGAAGGGGCTCGGCGCCTCAGGAGGAGCTAGGCCGGGGGTGGGGGGGGATACAGGTACCCCGGGCTCCTCTGTGGGGAAAAAAAAAAAAAAAGGCAAAAAAGCTACCCAGAGCTTCAAGTGTAGGTTTAGGAGTTGGTGCGGGTTCCGGGAAGCCCTGCTGGGCCCGCGGGGTCCTGTGCGGGGGGAGCCGGTGACCGGGGAAGCCGCTTGGTAGAACTTGAGGAAATGGACTCGTTTTTCCCCGGTGCCGCGGCCGAGGTGCGGGTCCCCTGGGGCCTGGCTGCTGCCCCACGGCCTGCGGGGCCTGCTGGGCTTCGTCCAGGGTTCTGGAGTTGATTTATGGGTTAATTAAAACAGTTCCACGCTGTTCCAGTTTCTTCCAGTCACTTACCCTCCTCCACCTGATTTCTGGAGTACTTTTTATTAGTTGGAGGTTTAACATGCTTCCAAAATCCTTCATAGCTCTTCTTTCTTGCTGTCTTACACATTTCTCTCTTGCACACTGTCCATATAAACAACTCCTATTTCCTTTTTTTTAAGCTATTTTTTTTGTGTGTGATTGTTCGTGACTTCTTTCCCAAATACATCAAGTTGCCTTCTCTGTGGTAAATGCCAGATATTGCTGTTCTGTCCACCAAAAGAGTTTTGTTTTTTTTAGGAATAATATGTTGAGTGTTTCAGTTTGAATGCCACTAAAAAAAGTGAGGGCATAATTTCTGTTGTATCTGAAGGACAAAAGGAGAGATCTGGTGAAGTCTGTTGTACTTGAACACCTTCTTTGTAAATTGTTAATAAATAATAAATACCAAAAGCTCCAGAGCTGTGTCAGTGCTGCCCCTTTCCCACCTTGAAGATAAAAGTACCACGGCTACCATATCTTCATGTATTTTTGTGACACTTCTGTTTGCTTGTAATTGTGCAGGCAATGGAACCAAGTACAGAGATTTGTGAGATGGGCCTCGACGATAGGTATGAAATGTAACTTCTTTAGCTACTAGGGTTAATCAGTTGCGTAATGTGGGTTGCTTTACAACTAGTTTTAGACCATTAGTTGCTGAAAAACTGTAGGGTTTTCTAAATAAATATTCAATATTTGTATAGTATTTGAAAACAGTAGTCTGCAGCAGACCAAACAGAAAGAATCTTTAATGTGTAAACAGCATTTTGAATAATTTTATCTGTCATATTTTGGTATACTCAACTTCATGAAAACTATTTATTTTTGTCATGTTTTCCTCTGAGTCCTTTTCTGATACAAATGTTGCAAAGTCTGTGAGAATTGGTTTTTAGGCATCATGGTATTTAAACAATATATGAAAGGAAGTTAAAAATATTTAGCAAGATTATTTAAACTGACCCTGTTGTTATGTTGCCTAAAAAGACATGTTTTAGAATTCAGAGAGATATTTTCATTTTACAGATAGTTTAAAGCTATTTAGTTCTGCCCATGAGGCAGAAACTACACGGTAAAAGTAGAAGCATCAACTTTTATGTTTAAGTGTTGTGTTAGGGTTAGAATAGATTTCTTGTGTTCTAAAAAAGAAAAAAAGATTCGAAACATAAGTGCTCTAAGGAAAAAATTCCAGGACTAGCGTAGGAATGCTTTTGGGTGAAGCATGTGTTTTTTCATTATTGGAAGAAATACATAAACACTCTAAATGGTGACAAAGAAATCTGAATTTTAAAATAGCTTGATTTCCAGGAATGTTTTTAAGGATATATTTAGTTTAAAGAAATGCTTACTGTGCGTCATCCTTTTGAACAGGAGGTCACAGCATCGGGAAGATCCTGATCGCGAACCGAGGCGAAATCGCGTGCAGGGTGATGCGAACAGCCAAGAAGATGGGTGTGAAGTCTGTGGCCGTTTATAGTGAAGCAGACAGAAATTCTATGCATGTAGCAATGGTGAAGTATTGTCATTCAGTTTGTGATTCACGTTCATTTGCAGTATTTTTAACAGTATTTTTCATTAGTAAGTTCAATGCGAAAGTAGGTGTGTGTGCTAATGCAGTTGATTTTCGCTGCTGTGGAGTTACTTCCAAGTTTTCCTTGAATCAGTGAAAAGTTTGCCTCGTCTCTGCCTCAGCACCTGACAACTTGTCAGCAAGTGCACTAAAGTCTGGTGCTTAAACTCCAGAGTGGCCTCTGGGGGTTACAGAATGGACTCTTATTTTGGGAAGAAAGTTAGAATTTGTTTCACCCAGTTGAGCCTCTCCATGAAGAGAGGCAGTGATTTAACCTGTTGCATGCTAGCAGTCTGATAATCCATATAGTTAGCTTAGAAATTCTCTTAAATTTGCTTTTTATTATCTGATAAACAGTCTGTCATATGTATTTTTTTTTCTGTCCCAGGCAGATGAAGCGTACTGCATCGGTCCAGCACCCTCACAGCACAGTTACCTGGCCATGGAGAAGATTCTGCAGGTGGCCAAGGTCTCAGCAGCACAGGTCAGTAGATCACAACCTGAAATCTTCTGCTACTCCCATATTCTTGAGTTCTTTGTTTTTACTGGTGGTGTTTCTGTCATGTGTTTCCCTAGTACTCTACTGAAGTTTCAGGGTTTTCTAAGCTAAACTGTTACAAAAATAGGCTGGTAACATTATTCTATTTTAGGCCATTCATCCAGGTTATGGTTTCCTCTCAGAAAACACAGAGTTTGCAGAGTTGTGCAAGCAAGAGGGAATCATCTTCATAGGTCCGCCTTCATCTGCTATCAGAGATATGGGTATTAAGAGGTATCTGTTTCTAATCTGTTACTTGCTTATGCAATTTACAGTTTGGCAAAGCTAATTTTGTTAACAAATGACCAGTTGCTCCATAATTATTTTATTCTGTCAGTTCTCATTGTCTTTTATGGCTTTCTTCAGAGGAATAAGCTCCAGGTTTCTAGATGTGGGATTCCTATAGGCATAGAAACAATCAAGATTGTTCAGTTGTTAGGGTTTTAATAATTAAATACCTAATGGATTCTAGTTTTCCCGAATTGGGGCGTTGTGGTGTTATGTAGGTGAGGGTTGTTGGGGCTCATGTAAAATGGGGTGATGTTTCCTTCATCACAGCAGATCTTAGTTACTTAGATCAAAGAAATGTTTCCAGGGTGTGAAGCGCAAATCCAGAATATGGAAATAAGGTTATTACCAACACACGAACTCTGTAATATTAATTTCAGAGAACTAATTTTTTATCGCTTCCTAACGTGAGAGTAAATTACCTCTGTAATTTAACTAGTTTTGCAAGCATGTTTGAAATGACAGTTGTTATGCTTGAGTATTTTATGAATGATGTGAATCCAGTCTGTATCATGAACAGAGTTTTGCCTTTGTACAACTTTAAATATAGTCTTGGCAGGATACAGTGGTTAATTTAAAAATGTTAGGTTTTGGCCTCTGTAATGTGGGCCAAAAGATGGGAAAGAAAAGTAAAGCTGTAACTGATTGCTTTTATGTGGAACTACTTTTGTGAGGAGAATTAAGGTTGGGAACTGATACAGGTTTGGAGCTTAAAGTAAGGAGAAAAAAAATATTACTATCATTCTAAACATAAAACTGTTCTGTCAAAGCACTTCCAAAGCTATAATGTCTGCTGCTGGCGTTCCTGTTGTTGAAGGTTATCATGGAGAAGATCAGTCAGACGCGTGTCTAAAGGAACATGCCAAGAGAATAGGATACCCAGTAATGATTAAAGCTGTTCGTGGAGGTGGAGGAAAGGTAAAGGCGCTAATCTGTCTACCACCTGGGGTAAAACTGTCATGTCTCGGTTTCTGTAAGTGAATATTTAAAAAAAAAAAAATCTATGAAAACAAATAAAACAGAGAACTACTTTTGGTTAAATTTTTTTATTAATGTCTCATTTCCATTGTTGTGCAGTCAGGCACAGGATACGAAACGGATAACTACTTTTGGTTAAATTTTTTTATTAATGTCTCATTTCCATTGTTGTGCAGTCAGGCACAGGATACGTAGCTGGTATAAATTGAAAGAATTTGGTTTATTTCAGTGGATCTCCAGCAATTCACATAAGCAGAAAAGTTCTGCTATGGATTTGTTTGTGTGAAATTAGATGACTTTAAGTTGTTACTTTGTGATAACTTCTTTGTTTGTTTTTTTTTTTTGCTAACCGTTTTAAATGTTGCATAAGAAGTGAAATTAGAAATACCATTTAAATCCTTCGTGTCTAGACACGTCTTAGCATATGGTGAATTCTCTGTCTAAATCTGATTTTGCTCTGAAATAAGTTTCTATGAAAGTGACATGATAGAGAATTCTGATTATTTCCGAAATAGCTGCATTTGTTTTGTAATTAAATCAATTTTTCTTTGCCAACCTTGGAAAATATCTATGATATTTAAGAATAAAATTGAATTTTGCAATCATTCATATCAATGGAATGATTATCTATTTTTTTTGCACTTCTTATAGCACTTTCAGTGGGACTTAGTAGGATTATCTTACTGGAAGCTGATATACAATTCTGCTAAAGTTTAAGAAAGAAAAGTGTTATTGTTAAGATCGTTTCTTTCTGTTTGTGTGCAACAATGATTTTTATTGTGGCCTGTATTTTCAGACATTTATATATGCTTTTTTCTGTATTTTAGGGCATGAGAATTGCTCACTCAGAGAAGGAGTTCCTGGACCAACTGGAATCAGCTCGGAGAGAGGCAAAGAAGTCTTTCAATGATGATGCAATGCTGATTGAGAAATTTGTAGATAATCCAAGGTGAGAAACAGATTATTATTTTTTTTTTAATATAAACACTCTAATGTTTATTATACTGCTAAATAAACATACTTGTTTTAGTAGTAGGATGGAAATTGGTCCCATATGTTTTAGTTGCACTATGGCAGGTGTTAATTTAGTCAATATTGTTTATAATGTATTGAATTTCTTGTAATGACTTTGTCTTGAATGATAAGAATTGAAATACTGCTGTTTGGGAGACAGGGCAATGACATTTAATGATGTTGATATTCTGAGTGAACTTTCTAAACTCAATTTACATCTAGAAAAAAAAAATCACTTTAGAATACTTAAACTACAGACTGGAGTCAAGCTGTCGTCGTGTTTCTGCTGCCCTCAAGTGTCCTAAACTCCTCATTTAATCTTTTCATAGAAGAACTAATAAAGAACTAATAAAGACTAAGCAGCCTTTGGATACACATCTTGTTTATCCTATGGCCTGTGAGGTTTCACTGCAGTAGCTGGCATTTAGAATCCTGTTTCATTTAGGAAATTGAAGACGTCTTAAAACAGTTGAAATCCTCCATGTTCTTAGCCTTATTTCTACGTTTTTGGCTGTTAGAAGGAGGACACTGAGTCCCATAAGAATTCCTCCTGAAGCATACAGGACTGCGTGCGAGTTCACACTCTGTTTGGGTGCAGTCAGTGGCAGGATTGGGGCTTTATTGAAATACATTGAAACATTTTTTATTGTGGCACAGGCACGTTGAAGTCCAAGTATTCGGTGACCAGCATGGCAACGCTGTCTATCTGTTTGAAAGAGACTGCAGCGTGCAGAGAAGGCATCAGAAGATCATTGAAGAGGCACCAGGGGTGAGTAGAAAGTTCTTACAATATTTTTTTTGGTGTGAACTGACATATTTTTAAAGTAATTAGTAACTCCCATTGAATTTATTTAGTGGGTAGTAATTTATTTGTAATTTTCAATACCTGTTCTAATTCTGCTGCAGAAAGTGTTCTAATTGAAAAAATGACTTTCTTTAGAAAATTATTCTCAGGGAAAATACGTAGATTTAAAGTATAACATTGATAAGGATTCACTACAGTTGCTAAATATCACAAAATATTCATGCCAAGTCGTTTAATATCGCCAAAATTCACAATAATTTATAATCTTTTCTATTATTATTATTTACAGCCAGGAATTAATCCTGACGTTCGGAAGAGACTGGGAGAAGCTGCTGTGAAAGCAGCCAAAGCAGTGAATTACGTGGGAGCGGGTAAGTCTGGGGAGGTGTGCCTGCTCCAGTGGTACACTTAATTAAGCCTCAAGGCAAATAGCATCTGATTGATTTAGATTATGACACAAATCCCCCACTTCTTTTGAGGTTTAAGCAAGTAACCACATAGTTAATTCTGATGTAATTACAAATGTAAACTAGCGTACCTTCGGAGCTCAAGACCAGTGGCAGCTGAAGAGCAGAAAGAAACAATTTCAGAGCAGATAATTCAGTCAGCTAGGCTGTGCTTGGAGTGAGCGTTATCAAAGTTAGTAGTTTTGAGCAGAGCAAGGGAAAAATAATTTCTCTTTCAGCATACAAAGAATAATACTTTATATTCAAACAGTAAAGCCTTTAACAAAAGCAAACCCACAGCTCCCTGTCTGTAATGTCCACATTATTTCCCAGATGAAAAATAACCTGCTAAAATTATTTGTGATTTTTCTCACTGCTTGCTTTGGATACTTGTTTTTTAAAAATAATTACACACCGTATGTGTATCACGGTGCCTTAAAGAGTCTTGATGTGCTTTTTACAGCTGAGAGAAAATGCAGCTCTTGCTGTAGAGGAGATCAGCTGCTGAAGAGCACAGGCTATGTAAATGTGCAAGGTCACAACCCTCCTGTTTTCAGACCTCGATTGTGTGACCCTTTAAGATAATTTGTGTAGAATGTAATGAAATTCAGTGTGTCTGGTGTAGAAATAATAGTCTTGTCCTGCCATAAATCAAGTGTCGTAGGCATCCCTTCTGAAAAAGTCTTGTTTTGATGAAGTGCCCTTTTATTAAACACCTCAGGAACAGTGGAATTCATTATGGACTCCCAACACAATTTTTACTTCATGGAGATGAATACCAGGCTGCAAGTAGAGCACCCAGTTACAGAGATGATCACTGGGACAGACTTGGTGGAGTGGCAGCTTAGGGTAAGTGTTAATTGATTTGAAATGTAGAGTTCCTCTTGTCTGGTGAATCGCACCCTTTGATATTGCCTGGGAGAGACCAGATGGGGTTTCAGACCCTCATTTCCCCTTCAGTTAATAGGGTAGAGTTTCCTTTGCTCCAGAGGAACGTCTCGTATTACTGTGTTTGGTCATTGTGTAGATGCTCTGAATTTCAACAAAGTCGTCTTCTAGTTGTGTAGAGGAAAAACCCCCATTTTTTGAAGTATATTTAGAGAGGTTATAGAGAATGTGGGAAGTGGGAGGAGTAAGGTCCTGATCTTTCCCCTGCCATGCTGAAATTTTTTTAAAACTCTAGTTCAAGTGTATCTCTGGCCCAAAAATCATACTTGGATCAGGCCGTAGGAGGAAAACTCTTCACAAAACCATGTCTCTGGTGTTAAACCAGTATAGTCACATTCTGAAATAAATGTGTAGTTGTGTGGACTGGAAACGGGCTGTTTCCTCTCACACCCAATTTGCAGAGAGATCACTCAAATGTCCGAATGATAACAGGAAGTTTTGGACCTTAAGAACCTGAAAATGAAAACCAATTCTGGTTAGATTAATTGAAAAGTGAGGACAGCAGCAGATATTGAGGGTAAGTAGATACAGTGGGGAGTGTTTAGTGTAACCAGAAAGAAAACTAAAATGGCAAACAGTGATGTAAAAAGGAGGAGCTTTTGGCCTCCTGGTCTGGGAATGGAAATTGTGCATTGAGTGCTGAGTTGGAGTGGGGATCAAACACCACTGGAAGAAAGAAGAAGAGGTAAGGTGGGAAGGTTCAGTGGTGTTGGGGTGTGGCTTCACGAGCCCAGAGACAGAAAAGGGCTATCAGTTCTTGGAGGGATTGTTTTTGTGAATCTAGATAGTGTGACTCTTCCTGCGATGGCTAAGGCAGGTTCTCTTCTCTCTGCTGAAATCCCTGGTGGCAGAAGGCAGAGCATGGAAAACCCCTGATGCTTCAAAAGAAGGTGAAATGTTGCTACAGATTTTTTCACAGGAACTTGAGTTTTCCCATGTAGATGGAAATTACGTAGCTTCCTGGGAAAGGGTCTCCGTGTTTCACCGCAGCAGGCTGCTTGGTTTGTTTTGTCCATAAAAGCCCTGGTTTTTAGTCTCAGACTGGTGTGGTGTTGGTGTGTGCTGGTATTCCTGTATTGTAATGTGAATTCCTTTGAGCAATAAAATGATGTTTCTTTCCCCATTAAAGGTTCTTAAATTGTTAGAAATCCCTTAGAGAAACATTCCCTTCAATGTAAGGTCCCATGGTATACAGAAGAGTCAATAGCGTACGGCTGTAGTGCTGGCTGCCAGTAACCCATTTCATCAGCTGCTTTGGCGGCAATTTTTCTCTAATAAAATCCTCTCTTAGTTCACAAAACTAACTTAAAACATTTAATTATTTTGATATAACCAGTAGAAAAAAGAATTTCCATTATGTTTTAGCAGTGTGAAATATTAAGAGGTCCATTTACACAACAATAATTGAAAATCCTTTGACTGGTGACTCCCAGAAAAAAGAAAGGGAAGGAATAATTTCAGTATTAGCCTTTTATGACCTACCACTTCATTCTCCTCGTGCTTTTTTTCTAATGTGCTTTATAGTTGTTCATGTTTAGAAGAAAGATATTTAATATTTCATGCATTGGCACTCCAGAATATTGATTTCACATTAAAGAAAAAAAAACCTAATGTTTTCAGGTTGCAGCAGGAGAGAAGATTCCCCTGAGGCAGGAGGAGATTCTGCTCCGTGGCCACGCGTTTGAAGCTCGAATATACGCTGAGGACCCCAATAACAACTTCATGCCAGGGGCTGGGCCGTTGCTGCATTTATCCACCCCACAGCCTGATCAGTTCACCAGGATAGAAACTGGAGTCAGACAAGGTAAAGCTGGAGGCAGTGGTAGAATCAGAAATACAGAACATCAAAAGCTTTACTTTGTAAGCATTTCCCTCCTTGGCCTCAATAAGTTTGTGTGACAGGATGTTGTTATAAAGAAGTTCTCTACAGAATTACTCTTCCTTGTGATTGTCTGTGTCCTTCTGGTCAATCGCTGAATATTTTATTTACCCCTATCCAAATGCGTGTCCTTCTGTGTCCATGTCCTCCGCTGAATATTTTATTTACCCCTATCCAAATGATTGTCCATTGGATCATGCTAATTATATTCTCATCATAATTTATCAATCCTGCATTCTGGTTGCAACAAAGAAAACTGAATCTAAATAATGTTACCTCTGCAAAAGTCTGTACTGAAGTTGTCCTGGGAATTGAAACACCAGGTCACATCATTAAAGGTTAATGTTCTTTAAGGACACAGAGAAACGTGGCTGTCAGTTGTGTCAGAGTCTTATGCCATATGGTGTGCACTACTCTGCATTACCAGCTTTCAGAAAGTACTTGGGTTAGTGTTACAGCATTTTTTATATGTGTATTTTAGGTGATGAAGTTTCTGTTCATTACGACCCAATGATTGCAAAGCTGGTCGTTTGGGCTGAGGATCGTCAAGCGGCGCTCAGAAAGCTGCGATACAGTTTGCATCAATACAATGTAAGTGAAAGGCACCTAGTGTGACTTCACATCTCAAGCTAACAAAAGATGGATAAAATACTGCACTAAACCAAAAGTGGTTTCTAGGAAGGAACCTGCCTTTGCCACTGTCATCTTGGAATCAGTATTTGTTTGCAGAAGCTGTATTTTTTCCTAATTTGCAAACTGTTTTTGTTGGAGGACTGAGCAGAGGTTAAGTGTAAGTCCAGTTTTACACAGAGCTTTTTCTTAAGTTTGCAACATCTTCAGTTGGATGATGCAGCTGGGACTTCATAGAAGAGTAAGGTGAAACAACAGCATTCTCCATTGTAGTGTGAGCTTTCTCAAACTGAATGGAATTTGTAGGTGGAATTTCTGTCAGACCGTGTTTGCTTGTAGTTTCTAATTCATAAAAACAATTAAATCTTTAGACTATAAACATGGTAAAGAAATACAGAGAATTTTTAATGCTGTTGGTTCTGTGCCTAGGCAGAAAGCTGGGTGTTCATTTGTAGCTTCATTTCCATTTGGCAATATGCTTCTTTCTCTTTACAGATTGTAGGATTAAGCACTAATATTGATTTCTTACTGAGCCTGTCAGGACACCCGCAGTTTGAGGCTGGAAACGTGCACACTAATTTCATTCCTCAACACCATGATGAACTATTTCCAACCAAAAAGGCGACCCCATACGAAGTTGTGTGTCAGGCAGCTCTGGGACTCATCCTGAAAGAGAAAATGCTAACAGATGCTTTTCGAGAGCAGTCAGATGGTAAGGACCATTCTTCTTTTGTTTTATTCTATTTGTGACGAGAGGAGACAGTGCTGTGAGCTCACGTGCAGTTATCTAATCTGCCTGCTCCCTTTTTGCCTGACTTTGTGCCTGATCAGGGTTCTGCGTTCTGGCGTTTGTCAGAGATTTACAGGCAGAGCAGACCATCACTTTTGTGAAGGGACAGATATTGAATATATCACCCCTGTGGAGTACAGACTCATTCCCACAGCGCTGCAGCCAGGCACTATCTGAAAGACCTTGGGATTCATACTCGGTGTCACCGTGTGCTCTTTGCTCGTTAGAAGCATAAACAGTGTCTGTCACTCGTATTCCTACGGTTGGCCCAAGGTCTTTGGAGATACCGTTGTCTCTGCTGGGACTGGGAGAGGCAGTGGGGTTTGATGGAATGAACAGGACTGGGGGAGCTGCACATCCTTGAGTTCTGGCACTGCTAATGGTGATACCAGCAGGGCACGTGATTGCTCTTAACAAAAATTGCATATAAATCTAATACATGCTGCCAACAACCTTGTTAATTTTCTTTCTGCCTCCACTTTATACTGGGAATGTGGTGGAGTGGGATTGGAAAGATTCCCATACACTCTTCCCTTCTTCAGGAGGTGATGTACAGCTGTCAGGCACTGCCTGATTAGTTCATCTGATCCACTCTCAAAAACACCAAGTCAGAGAAACCCCTCCATCTTCCCAGGCCATTCGCTGCCTTGTTTGACTGCTCTTACACTTGGAGCCTTCACCTAAAGGTGCAATTGTACCTGCTGTGGTGCAGGTGAATTCCCACACTTTCTTGTCCTGGTTGAGGATGTGTTTGTGGAGAACAGTCAGTGTCCTTTTTCTTAGTCAGTGCTGTCAGCATTGAGTTTTCTGTAGGTTCCACACAGCCTCAATTTATTCAGTGGTGAAGCTTGAGTGGTTCCCCAATCTTATATATAAATATACAAGTATGATGGCAGTAATAGTAGGACATTGATTTTATGGTGTAAGTTCTAAGTATTGTGTTTTGCCAAAGTAGAATGAAAGTAACGTATCTGTATATTTTGTGTTTTAGATAAATTCTCACCATTTGCATCCAGCACTGGTAGAAGAATAAATATATGTTATACCAGAAAACTGTCTCTGCTGGATGGGGAAAACGGTAAGTTAACAAAAGAGTCAGTGGAGGAAGAGGAGATACTTCATGGATAAAGTTATTTCAACTGGTGCTTGAAAATTCAGGCTAAGAAACAGCAAATAGAATCAGTATGAGTTTAATGCAGTTTAAGCTGGGAATTCACCAAATTGCATGATTGATCCGCACTGTTGGATCTCGAGGAGATATAAACCCAATTCAAATGACACCACTAATGTTCATCATTTAAATGAATAACGGTGAGATAAGCTGAATGTCATTGACTTTTTTTTTTTTTTACTTCACTTTGGTGTGAAAGTGCTCAGCACTTTTTCCCATCAAAAATCTGTTTTCTGTCCAGAGAACATAGATTTTGGAGCGTAACAGCAAGGGTTCATCTTTGAAAAACAAATTGTCTAGAATTCAGTATGAAATCTGCAATGTGTACTCAGCTCATCTGAAAATACTCTTTTCTTAGTATTGATAGGTATTTTTTTATCAAGAAAAATAGACTAAATAATGTTTATATGTAATGATTCTCTGGATCCTATAATTAAATCTACTCACATATACATGTTTTGTTTTATTGAGCAGTTGTGGATGTAGCTGTCAGTTACAATCAAGAAGGTTCATACAACATGCAGGTACAAGTCCACTTTTTTTCAGATATTACATTAGTGAAAAGAAGAATCAGTTTCTTGTAGACGTCTCTTGGTATTAACTTAAGTTGCTTGATAATTACTGATATAGGGTTCTATTTTTGGTTTGCTTGCAGCTGTTGTTGTAGACTAATATTTTGACTTGAAATTATCTTTGCTAGATGCTGGATTGGCACAGAAGAGCTACTAAAATACTTCTGAAAATAAGACTAAGAAAAACATTTGTTTTTCCAGTATTTAAAGATCTTATTTTTTATTATTTATTTTTCTCTTCCTGAAATCTGTCTTTCTAAACCATTGGAAGGTAGATTTAAATCTGCATTTAAAAAGACTCTTTTTCCACAGGACTCCTGATTTATTCTCTGCATGAGATGGATCTCCTGTGGGATAAATAAAAGATTTCTAGAGCGTTTTCTGTAAGATAACACTTCTTTTATTTTGAAGATGGAAATCGGAAAGTGATTGCCAAATGAGATGAGGAATGACGAGAGCAGTAAATCTGCTTAAATAATTGAATGATGGAATTGGCTTTTTTTTCTGTCAACGCTATAGAGATCCTATAGGGTACAGCTCTAGATATTTTGAACATAGCTGGTTTTGTGTGAGTTAGTGATAATCTCTAACTGTATGGCTTATGGGGTTGTGTTTTGCTGAGTGTTGAATGATTTCAGGCTTGAGAACACCCTCTCTCTCTAGGGCAGCTTCTGCTTTCCAGTGTTCAGAAAAGGGGAATGATGAGAATAAGTCAGTATTCATGAACAGCTCAGACTGTCCAGAGATGAGTTTGCTAGAAAAACAGTGAGGAAAATTGCTGTGCTTTCATGTATATAACCATGTATTGGGTAACCCAAACCCTTATTTCTGCTGATAAGAATATTGAGATAATCCACATCCCTCGCGTAATAGGCAGGCTATTTTGAGTGTATTGATTACATGTGTAATGCAGGAGAGCTTTTACTCTGTAGCCTTATCTCATGTAAGTCATGTCAGCAAAAAATAACCCGAGGCTGGAAGGAATGTGGAGTGGGGCTGTTTGGGGAGGGGATGTGCAACCAGGAGAATGTGGACGTGTTTTATTTCTACTCGTAAGACCAGCAGGTCCATTTGGTCCTTCCTCTGCAGTTTGGGTCTCTGATTGACGCTGTCTCCATTCTGCTCTTCTCTGTTTCTGTGTGGGTTTCCTGAATACATTGTAGTTTTTGCATTACAAGCTTATAAGAGTGAGGTGACCTGCCTTTTGGAAAGCATTGTGGAGTCTCACCATATCAGCTGGATACTCTGGATTTTTGAGTTCGAAGGAAGTCAGGATGTTAGGACAAATTATACATACTGGATTCTAGTAGCACCACTAAACTCTGAATATTCTGGTTTTCCTGAGAAATATATTCCTGTATAGCTGAGGGCTATTTAAGTTTACAAGAGTGAGGAGATGCCTCACTGCCTTTTGGAAAGCATTGTGGTGTCTCACCATATCAGCTGAATACTCTGGATTTTTGAGTTCAAAGGAAGTCAGGATGCTAGGACAAATTATACATACTGGATTCTAGTAGCACCACTAAACTCTGAATATTCTGGTTTTCCTGAGAAATATATTCCTGTATAGCTGAGGGCTATTACATAGTTTATGATAAAAAATTGTCCTCGGAGAGGGTAATAGCTAATCTTCTGAGCTGGTTGCATTGGATACAAATACAGCCTGTTAACTTTAAAAATAAGCATACATCAGATTTAAACATTTTAAAAGACTCTTTTTAAAAAAATAATTCCAGAATTATCTATGAAGAATCACAGGTTGAGTCTATACAACAGATACTATTGGTTTATAGCTCCTGAAGGGTTAGGCTTTGTCCTTATAAAGCATTTAACTTTCAGATTCAAGATAAAACGTTCCTGATTTCTGGGGAGATGCTCAAAGAAGGTGATTCACTTTACTTGAGGTCTTCAGTGAATGGAACAGTGTGTAAGGCCAAATTGGTCATTTTGGACAACACCATTTACCTCTTCTTTCCGGTAAAGTTCCTTTCTTTATTATCACAAGTACACAGTTTCAGAGTTCTCTGCATGTAAACGAGTGATATAAATTGGAAGAGAAGATGAAAGAGAATCATAATTTAAGCTCTCACTCTGGCCTGTAACATTCTGATACTTCTTGCGTTTATAGCTGTAGTTAGAAGTTAGTTGGATATGGTAAATGAGTGAGACAATAAATTACTATTAGAAAGATAAAACACGATTGGGTGAATCAGAGTTACAAATGCTGCTTTGGGAGCAGGGAACACAAAATATTTAAATGGCCAATTATCTGAGTCTGTCATAGAGCAGCAGCGATTCCTTCAGACTGACAGTTGTTTGAAAGTGCTGGTAACTGCTATTTTTATTTCAGTGCATTTCATTTTTAATATTAAATGACAGGAAAGAAAGCTGTGGTATCAGAGTAGAGCCTGAGGTGGGGGATGTAGAAGAAATCACGGGGGTGTCAGGGTGTGCTGGGCTGTGAGGGTGCTCAGGTTCTGCTGCCCTGGCCCCAGTGCTCTGGCACCCTGAGGAGCTGACCGAGTTGCCTAAAGCCAGAGCTGTTCTTTCCCGTCATGCCAGCATGTGTCTTAATGGTGTATTCTTTTATGTTATTAACTCGTATGTCGTTGGTTTTATTTTGGTAGGAAGGGAGTGCTCAGATTGGCCTCCCTGTACCCAAGTACCTGTCTGCGGTGAGCTCGGCGGGGGAGCAGAGCGGTGCCGTAGCGCCCATGACAGGCACCGTGGAAAAGGTAATTAGAGTAATACAGGTAGGAACTGAATTCTCCAGTATATATCCACGTCCAGTCTGCCAGAAATGGTGTTTGCTTCTGTACTGCCAGGAGAGAAGCACGGCCAGAAATGTCAGTGCTCTCTGACTCCCCCCAGTCAGAAAAAGCCCTTTTTATTCCTACTTTTCAGCAGCCACCCAAGAGTTTTTCAGGCTTCTAGTCTAGTTTTTGTACAGCTCTGGACAAGCTGAATACTTAACTAATCCTACTGCTTAAATAATTTTCTCTTCATCTTAATTACTTTCTAAGTCAAAGTTCCCTGAAGTGTCGTAGGCTGTTTGATCCATTTCATCGCATGATGAAATGTTGGATGCAGTTGCAAAAAAAGAGAAATATTCAGAAATGCCGTTTTTGTTAAGCTTTGTGTTTCGCTGCTTCTGGTTTTGTTCCTTTTCCTTTAGCTCAGCAAGTCTTGTGTATTTCTCTGTGCAGTGGTGAAGTTTCAATAGAAGAGAGATTTCTGGCAGAGCTGAGTAGTTAAAGGCTTCTGCTGGCAATGAGAAGGTGTGAGCCCTTCCAGAGGGTGGAGTGTGTTGCACGTGGATCTCTTACAGGCTGAGTTGACACTAAATCAGAGTTACTGTAGAAAAACTAGGTGCCTGCTGCAATCTCCTTCCTGGATTTTGTTTTGAAAATGACTTTAGGGACTGGCTCCAGGAGGGGGAGGGGGTTGTTCATTTTCTCTCTCAGAAAGAAGCTTTTAAGCCCAGAAAGGGCAGAATATACATTGTCTCCTCTAGTGCTGCTTCTTTGAGACATAAATGGCTTCCTGGTCATCCTCTGAGCTTTACTGAGCCTCTCCTATAGCCTCTGGCTTCCCTCAAGTATTAGCTGGAGAACTCAGATACCCAGTGCAACAATAATAAAAATATTATGAGGCTGTTCTGCAAAACCACAATCACTCAGTGGATTGTGCGGGCTGAGATCCAGCCAATGATTTTTAATGGTATGCACATGCATGACTCTTTTTCCCCAATTTTCTCTTGATTTGTAGGTGTTTGTGAAAGCAGGGGATAAAGTTCAGATTGGAGACCCTCTAATGGTTATGATAGCTATGAAAATGGAGGTAAGTGACACATAAAAGGTTTTAATTACTGAGAAAATAAAAAGCTGGTCAGAATGTAATCATTTTTGGTTGCATTATTGGAGCATGGTGCAGAGCGTAGCTTGCAGATGTCACTCTCACTTCATATGCTGTGAAACAAGTGTTGTGTCTGACTAGATTGCAGGGGATTATATTTGCTGTTAATTTATCAACAAATGATGATTATATAACCCATGGTGTTCTGCAGATGTTTTAGCGTTCATTGGGCTATTAATTTGGGTAGCTTTGGCAATCCTCTCCCCTTCCCTGCATTCAGCTTTTTAGCAAAAAGCTGTCAAGGTGTGTCTCTTGGTCACTGTGATGTGTTACTTCATGCAGAGATTTAGCTAATGGTGACTTTGTAAATATGTCCAGGATTTTTTTTGTTGTTTATAATCTTTTTATTATTATTAACCTAAAGTTTTACCAAGAGTACACTAAAGATTCTTTGTAATTGTCCACGTGGCATTTAGTAGGCTAGCATTTGGGCCATTATATCTTGTAAGGTTGCTTGACTTTGGCTCAGATTGCTTGAACTATAGTTTCTATAGCCTGAACTGGTTTGGTTTGGCTATTGTTTTATTTTAAACTTCAGTGTGTGGTAGCAAAATTAACATTGTTGAGAAAATTTGCCTTTCCCTTATCATGCTCTTTTATAAATTACACTCATTTTTTTGCAGAGCTATTGAAATATAAACTGTAAAATTTAAAAAGCAAATTATTGTTGAAATTAAATCCTCACATCTAAGCAAGGATTAATATCTGATATTAAATGTTTTGATACTACACTAACCCTATGTAGGAAATTGCCAACAAACAAAACGTGAATGGAAAACTAATCTGGTACAGTAACAAGTAGACCAGTTTGGGGACTGGTATGTAAATGTGCTATTCCTTTATACTGGTAGCTGTATTTGTATTTCATCTAGATTTTGCCAAATATCTGCTGAGTAAAGACCCCTCCTGGCCAGCAAACAAAAATATTTTTAGTAAATCTGCAGATTCCTCTTAAGGGAACAAATCTGCTCTATGATTAACATTTTGGACTAAAACTGTATTATTTCTGCCTGCTATTTATTATAATACGTAAAAGTACTAGTGAAATAAAATAACATGCAGCTCTTCGTACTTCAAAATATTACAACATTTTTGTCCCCAGTATCAAAATAAATACTGATGAGAAAACGAAACTTGAAAAAGGAGTAGGATAACATTTTAAGAGGAGGTTTAAAGCAAATATGCATGTGTCAGAGGAAGTAACTAAGGGTGGTGTGGTCTAATTTCACCAAAGAGTAGCATTAGGAGTTGCTGGGGGGGGGAAGGGGCCGTGCTGACCATCACTCCCTTCCCCGCAGCACACCATAAGGGCTCCAAAGGCAGGAGTGATCAAAAAGGTTCATTTCCAAGAAGGTGCCCAGGCCAACAGACATGCTCCGCTGGTGGAATTCGTGGATGAAGAAGCCGAGTCCAAATAAAATTCAAGGAAGGTGCATTTTATTTTTTTCCTACCTTGCTGATTTTCTCTAAGGAGGAGACTTCTTCGTATTTTCAGCAGACTGTTTTGTATAACGGACTGGGGGATTGGTTTCCTCTGCACCTCCTGGATAGTTTGACTGTCAATGATGCTGCCCTTACTGAAATTTGGATATCACTATACTGTAATCGTATATATCACTCGTGGACCTACGTGCTTGGTGTTCAGTGGTTGTGTTTGCCTGTGGAAAGGCATTTGGTTGGAAAAAACGTGGAACTCCTAAAGGCTGGGAGAGGTTGGTGGGGAGTGAGTTAGAGGCAGGCAGGGCTCCTGTGCCTGCACTGCATTCAGCACAGCTGCCTTCTTTCCCCACGGTGGGAGAGCGTTGGTCAGAAGGGAACCTGAAAGGTGACAATTGTTTTATGAATCCAGTTATCTGGAAAAAAATTCCTGTTTGTGGCTTATGTTTTTGCCTGAAGAGGGAGTTCAGGTTTGTTCCTTAGCCCAGGATCCCTCTGTGGCATTTTTGGTGCATCTTTTTTCATATTTACCTCAATGAGTAGTGAAAATTTGCATTTCAAAAATTACTTAATATACTTTGGAGTATCTGATACAAAGCATTTTTAAAATGCATGTTAGCATTTGCTACACTAATCAAAGCTGGAACATAACTACTTTCCAAAAATATCGTTTGATCTTTAAACATAAGGCAGAAGCACAGAAAGATAATATGCATATTTAATAGTGTGCCAAAATAAAATACTGACTTCAAAATCCTCATTGCTTTTCCCATATTGTTCACATCCTAATTTATTACTTATTGGCTGGGATGGAGTATACCAAAGTCTTTGTAACAACCTGAAATATGACTAAGAATAATGGTCAGATTTTTTTGTATCTGCAGTGTGGCAGAAGAGAAAATTGGTGGGGTTTTTTGATACGCAAAGAAAATATTTCTCTGACACAACTTATTGATCATTTGCCTTACGTTTATTTTAACTTTTTTAAAAAACAGCTCGGTAAAACAGGAAAAGAGAAAGGATAACACGTTTTAATTGTTGCAAACTCGCAGATCTTTTTGCCTTCCAGTTAAGGTGAAGCCCTGCTTGTCATAGGAACCCTTGATACACCCATAGAAGCCGATAGCAGGGTTTGTGCTGCAAAAAGGAACACACACAGACTTGTAGTCGCAGACTTGGAGTTACCTCTGTGCAAATGCATCCTTCTATTACCTGAAATCTCCTCTCCGAATCGATACCCAATGTCACAGGGGATCCTGGGATCTGATTTTCACTGTGCAGCCTGCCCTGCAATGCAGGCAAAACCTGTAAAAAAGTACTGGCTCGGG